AATTCACTTTTGAAAGAGTGAGCAATCACTTTAACATGTGGCCTCAAAACGCTCTCGTGACCCTTTTAAATGCAAATGGATGAACGTTTCCTTTTATTCTTCCTCCGTCTCTTTCATCCATTCTCCCGGTCTTTCTCCAGAGATAATAAAGTTTAGCATCAGTCTCTGTCTGCTCTAGCCACAGGGAAAGTGTTTGACCTGGACATTTCCATGGTGATGATTGCCAGTGAGGAATGAAGCGAATCTCTCGTCATCCACTCGGCTTATATAAGCCTCTTTTCCTGAAACAATACTTAAATGTTGGACAGTAACTAGCTTACAGTAGCGTGACAGTAACTCAGCTATTGTCAAAACAATGAAGCTTATCCAGTAAAAAAAAACCCAGCTTTTTCAAAAAAAGCTGCATTGTAGTGTTTTCTTAAATGTTGTGCCGTATTTATATTTACACTGTAGTTGAACAAACTGCTCTCTCCTAAAATGTCTCTTTCTTAGGAACCACTGGGAAGTGTAATCGTTTTAGTGAATTGGTATGTCATTTCATGTCATATTTTATGTGGCAAAATTGATAAATGCTATATTTCGTCACCAGTGTTGGGGGTTGCAAGTAACGTGAGTTACGTAATCAGATTACTTTTTCAAGTAACTAGTAAAGTTACGCATTATTTTTAATTTTACAGCTAAATATCGGATTTACTTTTTCAAATAAGTAACGCACGTTACAGCAATTTGTTTTCCCATTCATTGACTGAACGTTCTTATTATGTTCTTTTTATTTTTTGCATTCTTTGACATCATGTAGATTAGTTCATATTATAGATTAGTTTATACACTGTTAAAAAATATGGCTGGTTTAACTTAAAAAAATAAGTAACCTGGTTGCCTTAATTTTAAGTTCATTGAAATGGAAAAAGTGAGTTAATACAATGGAGATTTATTTAATCATCAAAAACTCAAAAATAATATGTTATCTGAACTAAATAAATGATTTAAGTTGATTTGACAAATGAAAAAAAAGTTGTGATAACAAATAAATCTTGAAAATATTTTTTTACAGTGTAGCGTAACTCATTATTTTCCATAAAAAGTAACTTAACTCAATTCTTTTTTTTTTTAGAAAGTATTGTAACGCATTACTTTCAAAAAGTAATTTGTAACACTGTTCGTCACTATGTTTTTGACTTGGTTAAATAAATTATAGTTTTTCTAGTCTTAACAGTAGATTTATTTAAAATTTTCTGTCTCCAAGATTAAAGTAAATGTTAAAACTATATCTAATTATATATATTTTCATACCATACTGTGAGCATTTATAGATATTTAAGAAGATAGAGAGTTCAATTCAGCAATCATTGACTCTTATGAGCATGTTCTTTGAATGAATCAGTCAGAAAGACTCTTGAAGTTTGGGCCCTTTTTTTCTTCAAAAGTTTAGTTTGATTGTAGCTTAATGCATTTAGCGATGAATAGCTCCAAGTATTTTCAAAGTGGCTTCCAATTACTGCTTGATAAATGATGATGTACACCAGAAAACACCCCTGAGGAGTCAACTCATTTTCTGTTGTTGTTTAATGCATAGTGCTTTAACGTTTTACTTTATAATTGATGGAGATGGAAGGTGTGATTTATCCTGGGCTGTGAAGACGCGAATAGATCCATTGTTCATTAGTAAAATATCCACATCTCTGTTATTTTCCTTCATTTATTCTCCTGCTGTTCCTTTAATGCCTATGTGCTTGTGTTCTCCTCTGTGCATTTTCAACAAATGAGAAAACATTCACTGTCACCGAGTCATCGACTCGCCCTTACATATAAACCCCTGTGAATCACTTTCTAAACCTCCAGTGTCCTGATCGACAAAGCGAGAGAGAGACAGGGAATTTTGGAGAAGTGGGAGAGGAACAGAAATGGACAGACTGAGAGGCTTGACATAATTTCTATAATGGAGGCAAAGTTCAACAGCTCATGATGTCATCAGTCCTCCAGAGTCTCTTTGCTTGGCAGGAAAATATTCTCGTGAAAAAAGAGAGGAGAATAGCCCAGAAAGCATTCAGCACTCCTTTTCTACCGCAATTTGCTTCTGCTTTTTAAAGGCAGAGCAGGCAATTGAGATAAGACGAGAGAAGAAAGAAAGAGACATCAAGTCACAGAAAATGATTTGCTGAAGGTGTTTTATCCAATTGCTGCAACAACATCACTCACCTAATTAATTTATTCTTTATTGTCAGCCCAATCAGGAAGGACGTAACTCTATCCCAAGCCTTACTGCATCAAGCTTTAGCACTTTTGTTAGTACATGTTCTTTATATATATATATATATATATATATATATATATATATGTATATATATATATATAGTGTGTTGTGGTGTGTGTATATATTATATATATATATATATATATATTATATAGGATATATATATTAGGATATATATATATATATATAAAGAACATGTACTAACAAAAATATATTTACTGTATATATTGATCTATGTATGTGGTATACTGTACTGTATATATTGATCTATCTGGCACTATTTTTGGATAATTTAGTTGAGTTACATACTTCATAAATGAATGAATTTCCTTATTTTCATACCTAATTGATTCGTACCTAATTGATATATTTGTGACTAAATGGTTTTAATATTAATGTGCTAAATTGTCACATTGCTTGTCAACTTGTAAACAACTAAACTCAACTAAGCAACACCCTGCATTGTTCTTCGCTGAATTGACATATATCCTGTTAAAACAGGATGCTTGGACATTTTAGGCTTTAGTTAGCTGGTATTATTGTCATACTGTGTATTTGACTGCACACAAATCTTCATAGTGCATAAGCCATCCATATATTATATACATTTTATTGTGTTTTAACATGCTGTATATATTTTTGCTGTTGTATTAGAAGAAAACATTCTCATACTGCTCAGCCCTGGCCAGAATGTCTCATTCCTTTGCAAAGAATGGCTTAAACTGCCTGAATGGGCTTAAAGAGCTCTCTCAGCTGGTCTGAGTGCTTCTCATTATTTTGCCATTGTGTGTATGAATGGATAGAGGAGGCTGTGGAGGTATGCATGCACACATTTGTGCATGTACGTTCACGCATTCCTCCGTCTATGTGCTCTGTGTGTGTATGCGTGTGCCAGCACTACACGGTGACATCTCAACCAGCTGCTCGCAGGCAGTAAAGCCTCTCGGGCGCTATTGTGTCCAGCCTCGGTGTCCTCCGGCTTTAAGGGAGACACTAACAGGGACTGTCTTCCACCCGGGCAGCACAGCCAGGGCATTCATCTGTCAGATATGCCCTCGGTGAGCCTCTACTCTCTCTCCTCCAGCTCCGAGCACAGGGACAGCATTCATCAGAGCACAGTCTGCCACTCTACACGCAGACCTTTAAAACACACAGGGAGGGATTCACGCGGAATGAATTGTACTCACTGATAACGTCGTTTCTTTGCTGTCTGCGTTGTTTTGGCACAGAACGACGCAAATGAGACCAAATATTTTGCACTAAGCACAATTTTGTATGGCACATTTCTAGATATTGTGGGCAGTGAGGAGTTTCTGTGTGTGTACAGAGGTGCATAATTAGCGTTATACCACAGGGATCTGAAAGGAAGATGTAACTGCATCACGGTTCACATCAACTACTATCCTAGATATTACGTTAAAAACAAAGTGCTCAGATAATGTACTGTTTTCAAAATGTGTAAATCAGGTTTTTTGATGTACCAGTGGCATACTCTTTGACTACATTCTCATAAATAGCTTTTAAACACTACAAGATGACCACACATTGTGCACTAGACCAAAAATGATACTTCACTTGTGAATTTGATGTATTTCATGCCGCCACACAGTGTTGTGCCGTTCATATTTTGGGCGATCGTGAACTGAACGTACTGTATTACTGCCTGGTGAACGTTACACTCTTAAAAGAAAAGGTTCTATATAGAACCTTAAAACGTTCTAAAGTGCTACGTATTTGGAACCCCTAAAATGCAATGCGAATGATCACAAAATTCAAGATATGGGGGTTAAAAAATGTAATTAATTAATCAATATCACACGAAGAGTGCCATTTCAGTTTTTTATCCTCCAAAAATCTGCATGATTAAAATGTGATATTAAGTACTAAAACAGCTTAATAAACAATAATTTAATTACAACTACAAAATGTTGCAAAATAATGTAATATATGAATGAATAATAGCCTATAAAGAACCTTTGTGCCAAAAGTGTTCTTTCGTTGTTATTATAGAACCTTTTTTGGAGCGAAAAAAACACCCAATCTGGCAACACAAGACACCAGTGTCGCACCGCGGCCGCCGTCGACAAAGCAGCGAGCGAGGAGGCGTCGTACAATCATTTATGATGAGGGTTTTATGACAAGGTCGGTGAGGATGGGAAAAATCGTATATTTCTGTGCAAACTTTACCCGTTGATAAAATTATTGTTGTGTGTGGTTGTATATGGGCTGTGGCAATAAAAAATAAATAAAAAAAGGATATGGAACATATGGGGGAAAAAAGAACTATATTTTTTGAAGTATGAACTATGAATTAGTGATTGGTGATACACGTGTCTATTGGCACAGTGCCAGGCTTAAGTGGGTTTTTGATAGAGAACGGGGGGAGGGGGGGATTGGTCCAGGGGGCCGGACTACAAATATTTGTTTAACTGTCAAAGGCCAGCCGCACTTGTGGGTGGCTTTGTAAACGAGAGGACAGATGGAGTCCATGTTGTGTAAATGTGCCGGGAAGGGGTTTAAAGCAAAGAGACAAAATGTAAAAAGCAATTTTGCATTACACAATAGTTAGCCTTGTTTACACCTGTTAAGATCTCGGGTGAAGTGGTGACCACAAACATCACTTATGTTAGTGTTTTATTGCATGTTAAAATTAATCAGAATGTCCACTTGTGATCATATTGCCAAGAATGGATGCGTGATCATTTGTGAATATAAACTCAACCCTTTCCTCTTTCCTCTCTTGCAGAATGTGTTGGCAAAGGCCCTGTACGACAATGTGGCGGAGTCTCCGGACGAGTTGTCCTTTCGGAAGGGCGACATCATGACCGTCCTGGAGCGAGACACGCAAGGCCTGGACGGCTGGTGGCTTTGTTCGCTGCACGGCCGTCAAGGCATTGTTCCTGGCAACCGGTTGAAGATTCTTGTGGGCATGTATGATAAACAGCAACAGCAGCAGTTACAGCAGTTGTCGAGCCAACCCAGCCCAACCCAGAGCCTTCTCAACCTGCCTCAGAGTGCCTACAACAAGCTCCCCCCCTCATCCCAGTACACAGCCATGCACCCCGCCTTCAGCTCCGCCAACTCTACCAACCCAGACGGAGTCTACATGCTCCCCCCCAGCCACGGCCAGCCCACCTCCTCCAACCTCTACCAGGTGCCCACCGGCCCCCAACCTCCACAGCCCCAACCTAAAGCCCCCGCTGTGGCACAAAAGCAAAGCCAGGCACAGTACCCTCCCACCCCGCAGGATGTCTACCAGGTGCCCCCCTCCATTAATGCTCCAGGCCAGGACATCTACCAGGTGCCACCCACTGCAGGAGGGCCGTGTCCCGGGCAGGACGTGTACCAGGTGCCACCCTCTATGAACCAGACACAGGACATTTACCAGATTCCGCCATCAATAGAGAGGAGCTGGGACTCTCCCAAACCCATGGGAAAGGTAGGAAAAGATTGTCTTGTATTAACATATATGTAACACGTTTTCAGACATTTACTTTCCTAACAAACACTCTTTGAAGAAATGGTTCTATTTAGAACCAGAAATGGTTCCATCCCCCGCTTCATATATGGAACTCCAAAATGGCATTTTTTTTGGTAAAAGGTTCTATTGGCCAAGTATGGAACCCTAGGTTTCTATATAGAACCCAGAGGGACCCTTTTTTAAGAGTGTATAGAACCTTTTAGGGGTTCCAAATATGTAGCGCTGATAGAACCTTTTAAGGTTCTATATAGAACCTTTTCTTCTAAGAGTGAAGGATTGGTTTTCTGGAAACATGATTTTACCCCATAAACTATTCATAATAACCTAAAATTTTCCCTATTCACTTTTTAAAAACATATTCTATGTCCAATCAGATTCATTGGGTCTTACATGTGTGGGTGGTGATGGCGCAGTGGATAAGTGGATAAGCCTTTGGTGTGAGACACCAATGTGTCCCTGAGCAAGACACTTACCCCCTAGTTGCTCCAGGGGCATGCGACCTCTGACATGTATAACAATTGTAAGTCGCTTTCGATAAAGGCATCAGCTAAATGCGCAAAAAGCATCAGCAAAATGAATGAATGTATATGTAATATAATAAAAAAACCATATAATGCATAACTTTCTCCACTACTGTTTCACTCTATAATACATATTTAGTAAGTAAAATAGGAACAGCATTTAATGTAGACCATATTTATACACAAGGACATGTGATGAGAGGTAGCCTGGAAAGCATACAGAAAGACTACCTAGAGAAATATAGACAGAGGGTTGTTTGAGGGAGGAGAGTGTTGAAGACGGTCATAAATAATGCAGTTTTCAACGCCGGTGACTGTAGGCAGTAGAGTGAGTAAGCACTTTTTTTCGAGTGGTAACTACAGGTTGAAGCTGTGGGCAGTGACGGTCCCTTGAGAGAGTGTTGCAGGCCACTCTTAGGGCACTGAGCCATATGCCACAGCTGCCGCAGTGGCAGGGGAAATGAAGTGTAAAGATGAAGAAGTGAGGAGAGGTTCAGCTGCAGACCTGCTTGCTGTTTGCCACCTGTCAAATCTGCTCTACCTACAGCCATAAAGACAGAGAAATGACTCCGTGTCACTGCTTCTGGTCACTGTGACATGGTTAGGTGGTTATTTAAAACTATAGCATGCTAATGAGGTGCTATGCTGTTATTATGGTAATGACTGCATCATTGCTTATATCTTGATTATATATAAATTGAATGTGTTCAGGCAGTGACAGTAAGATTATCATTGTGTGGAAAGTTTCCATTGCAAATAAGTACCTTTATATAGTATGGTATCGGTTCTGGAAAATCATAGAAATTTAAATGTAGAATTTACAGGCCTGGAAAATTCTTGAAAATTAATCAGATATACTATATCGTCCAGGGTTTCCGAAAGTGGGATTGGTTAGAAAACTGCAGGGTTTTTTTTTTTAGATCCCCACCATAGTCTACTGTATAGTAGATTGAAATGTTTCTTATTACACTATTTGTCTCTTTGTAAGTGCAATATCTACAAAGTGATTTTAAAAATCCTTAAATAGACATACATTTCAGGAACAGTCTTGGAAAAATCATGGAAATGTACCATTATCTGTATATGGAATTCCAAGGTATCTCCAAGAATACCATTCATACCATTTCAAACTTAAAGGGATAGTTCACCCAAAAATGAAAATTAAGTAATTAATTACTCATCCCCCTTTTGTGCGAAAAAACAAAGAAAAATAACAAAAATAGTCCTGATTAAAAATAATAAAAATAGAAGATCCCAGAAAGTGCCCTATCAGGTCTGCACTCTCCTTCCCTCCTTGCGTTTTGAGTGGTGAGTTGATTCTGATTAACTTAAATACCACTGATTGGCCAATTGCATTCAAGAGATCAACAACTACTCTATGTTTGTTATTGGCTACATTGCTCACCGTTGCAAAAACACATTGTAAATAGATACATTTGACGCTCATAGCATTTGGCAAATCTGTTTCGCCAATATATTAATACAGAGGGTCATCAACTGAGCGTGTTCTTGTTTGCATTCTCTACTGTAGCTAGGAGAGAACTAGGAACAAGGAACCTAGACCTCTATTATCATGTCCTTCCGTAATCATTCTCAGAAACATTAGTTTCTATTTGCAATGCTTGTCTTGGGGTTTTCCTTTCATGAGTTTTATGAGGAGAGATTTTGATGTGTTTTCTTAAAGTCCTCTATTAAGATTACTTGTCCTTGTGCCCATAGTCCCTCCATCACTGGCAGCTTTTCATTATGTGATAAGAGTGAAGAGAAGAGGATGGACACACACACACAGCAGAGCTCTAAATAAAACCTTTATACTTTTGCTCTGCTTAATAAAGGAATGTATTTCAAGGCAGAAATACTCCAGTCGGTTAAATCTCTCAAGGCTCATGCATAACTAAATGACTGGCAACAGTGTGTTGGGGTAAAATAAAGTGCAACAGAGGCTTTTAATTTTTAAGCGTGATTAAACTGTTATATTACTATTTTATTTTTGATCAAATAGATGCTGCCTTGGTGAGCACTAACAGCTTTTGAATAGTAGTGTTCATGGTAAACATTTTAGGGTATTGGGTAAACTGTTAAAATATTTTCAGATATTTAAGTTTTTTGAAAGAGACAGACTTGATTATTGGCTGTGGGAGTGGATGGTCACTGTTGAACTCTTGTGTTTTGCAGTGATTCCTGTTTTCTTAGTAACAGCGACTTCTCATATCTCTCTTTGGGACCATAGGTAGTGTAGTTTTTAGAAATGCTCTTATAAATCCTAATTTCAGGTAGTGTAGGAGTAGTTCACTTTTAAAAAAAACGTATACTGATAATTTACTCACCCCCATGTCATCCAAGATGTCCATGTAATTCTTTCTTCAGTCGAAAAGAAATTAAGGTTTTTGATGAAAACATTCCGGGATTTTCTCCATATAATGGACTTCATTGGGAACCAAACGGTTCAAGGTCCAAAAGACAGTTCATTGCAGCTTCAAAGGGCTTTAAATGACACCAGACGATGAATATGGGTCTTATCTAGCAAAACGATCGATCATTTCAAAAATAAATAAAAAAGTTTAAGTTTTATAAGCTCAAATGCTCGCCGTGCTCTGTTCTGTGATGAGCGTTCGTGACTCTCCTGTTCAAACTCGTTCATCAAAATGAACAAATCTTTTTTCGAGTCATGACTCGAAGGGTCCTAGATAAGACCCTTATTCATCGTCTGGTGTCGTTTAAAGCCCTTTGAAGCTGCAAACTCTCGTTTGGACCTTGAACCGCTTGGTTCCCATTGAAGTCCATTATATGGAGAAAATCCTGGAATGTTTTCATCAAAAAACCTTAATTTCTTTTCGACTGAAGAAAGAAAGACATGGACATCTTGGATGACATTGGGGTGAGTCAAATATCAGCAACAGTTTTTTTTAAAAGTGAACTACTCCTTTAACTATGGATAGACTCACTCTGGATATTTGGATACTGTGGCAGCACCAGTAAGGAGTTATATGATCACTGTGGATGGGGTCAGGGTTAGGAGTGAGGGATTGTGATAAAGCAGCTGGAACAACAGCGCTGTGTGTCACATCAAAGACATGCGCAGGCAGGGTGTGTCAGCACGCGACCCACAAAGCCCTCGCACGCTTCTCCAACAGGCTGACACAGAAATTTCCAGTGTCTGAATGAATCATCATGGACTCTTATTAATGGAAGTCAATTCACATTGTGCGATATATAACAAGAAATGACAAATAATAGCCATAATTGAAAGAAATAAAGTCTCGTAAAGTGGCAATTATGAGAAACACCTTTACAACCAGAAACGTGCTTCCATAACCATTTGCATTTGCTAAAAAGCTGAACTCTGAAAGTGACTTGCATCAACATCAAAATTTGATAAGAATTAACTCTAAATATTATGGCATGCTTCAATCACAAAAATCTTACGAAATATGGCCGTAATACCGGATGTGACCTTCAGTTGCAAAAATAAGATTTGTACATATTTGTGACTCACCGCTGCTAAGACTCGCCCTGGTGTCCTGATTACACATTAACCAAAGTAAGCTTACACTATCAACTCAAGTTGCACATTGACCATTAGAGTAAATAAAACAGGCGGATGAAGAAAGATTTCAGCGTAAGCTTGTTCGTCCGGTTTAGGGCCACGTGAGCGTGTCAAAGAGGGTTTGTGGGTGAGGTATTTAGTTCTATTATGGATGCAGTTGAATGGACAGTGAAGAGGGACAGCAGAGGTGGAGAAACAGTCTGGTCTTATCTCTTTAATAGCCCCTGCTATAGCCATTCTCTATGCTGGACAGATAGCTGGGGTTTATTAAGGCAAGGTGTGCTGGGTGATGGCAAAGGCTAGATTGAGATTCTGCTGTTAGTTTGCCGCACTGCCTGATCTGAAAGTAAATGTGTAATCTTTGGAGACTTAGTTGAGGCTGCTCACCTGATCAGGCAGGGGAGAGGAGGGAGAGGGAGGAGGTGCTTGCTTGGCTTATCTGCAGGACCAGGCAGCGTTTAGAGGAGAGGGAGGGGAGAACATTGAAAGGAGACAGAATAAAGGAAGACCAGAGGGATCGTAGATCCAAACTCCACTGACACATTCACGGAGCTACATTGGTATGGAGAAACACACTCGTTTAATATCTGCTATCATAATGTTATCAATGTGTTAAGCAATGTTATGAGTGAGTTTCAAGCATCATTTTTACGGCACTGAAGGGCTCTGCTGAGGAGAAATGTTATAACAAAAGTGAGCCATGGAATGCTGTCGACTATTCACATGGGATAAGTGGATAAGGCACATGCCTTTGGTGTGACCCAGGTTCGAATCCACTGTGAGACACCAATGTGTTCCTGAGCAAGACACTTAACCCCTAGTTGCTCCAGAGGCGTGCGACCTCTGACATATATAGCAATTGTAAGTCGCTTTGGATAAAAGCGTCAGCT